CTTTTTTAATAAATATAGTAATAATTTAAGATATTTTTTACAGGTTCCTCTACTCGATTAATTCAGAAACTAACTTTATCTGTACGACCTAAAATAAAGGTAATAATAATTTTTATTTTCTTGTTTTCGTAATATACTTATAATAGACGAGCAACATTTTAATAATTATACCTTTTTTTTCAGTGAAAGGATCTTTGGAGAATAAAGACATCCGGCCACGTTAAACTGGATTACGAGAACAGTATTTAATGTAACATATGTTTATGTTAAGCCAAAATATTGGACATTTATTATATTGCTTATATATTTACTATATATTAAACTGTTTATTGATACATAAGAGTCACCGCAGTTAAAAAGCCGCAATTTTTAAATCACAATGCCTTTCTTAAGTTTAACATTTAATACTTAAACTACATTTTTTGTTTAAATTTTAAATTCAATAAAAAATGGTGACTTTTGTACATATTATGGTAAACGATGGAATGTTAAGTTTTTTGTATGGTTTTTTTTATATATAAAAAGGGCACATGAATTTGTAGATGCCTACCCTTAATTGACAAAGGAGGGGACGCACAGAAAGTGGATTTTTCCTTTAAATATAAGTCCCCTACTCGGCAAAATCCACGTCTCGTTCCATCTCCTCCTCAAAAGGGAATAAGGAATATGTTTTTTTTCCTGTAAACATTGCCGTTGATGCATTATAGTAAATATTTGCTATTTAAATGTTCAAATTAAAAATAATCTCAATATACATATTATATACATTATTATAGAATTTGTAGATGGTTTAAATATGTGTGGTGTTACAAAAATGCGTAAAAAGTTCGTACGTTAAATAGTTGTTGTTTGTAGTCATTATATTAAGGAAACAGTCATAAGCTTCGAGCTTGGCTTATTTAAATTCGCTATAACATTTTAAATTCGCATTATTTGAAGCATTTAGCCTTAAAAATAATATAAAAATGACTGCCAACATCTTCATACATAATGCAAATCATAAAGTACATTTAATGCATAATGTTTAGTTCGTGATTTTTCATTATTTTTTCGCTTTTATTAGGTTTTAAGACGTAATATCATGATATTAAGGGAACATTCCATAATCAGTTATTAAAGATATGTTTGACATATCTTACTAATTTCATTACTATTTTGCTACAGAATAAATTTTAGTTTAAATAAAATAGGTGTAGAGAGTTTAGCCTCGAAATATGAACAAAATACTTTCCAAGTAAAAATGCTGGTTTAAAAATATTACATCTAATAAGCTATAGTCACGTTTATGTTCCTAAGTTATATTTAATTTCACTATTTATCCAAACATTTCTATGTTAAATTATGCAAAAGTTTTGTTCACAGCATTTATTTTTGTATGCCTTTTTCGACGTGTCAATAATATAAAGACAATACATAGAACTATATAGAAAAGCCGTAGCTTTTGTATTTGTATGTAGAAACTATAATAAGCTTTGTATGTGATTTATAATATATAACTGAATTAAAAAAATCTCCCTTCAAAAAAATCCGCATTATTTTGTAATGCGTTAAATGATTTCCCTTGATTTGTGTTTAGGATGTTGTATATGGTAACCCCGAACAAACATTAATGAATCAAAGATTAAAACATAGATTAAAAAGACCTAATTAATTAGGTCTTTCATATCATCTCCAATAGTTTGTTCAAATAATTGCAAATGACTAATAAAACATTTCAAATTCTGATTCAAATAGTTTAATCCATGAAATACTTGCCTTCATTTTTTTACGTATTTAATATAAGTTAGACATAAGAAATACTTTTTGTTTGTAATAAAAATGGTAAACTAAATCAACATAGTATTAATTCATATAATGGCTGTGTTTTGTTATTAATATTTTTGTAAAACCCAAAGAATCTGCTCCACTATTTCAAAATTTTAATAACCGAGTGTTGACCCAATAAACAATTCTTATACTAATTGAAATAATATTCCAAAATAGCATTTATTCAATGTGGATTTACCTCGTTTATTGCTCATTTTATTTTACTATTTTGCTTAGACTTGCGTTTATGCATGTAATATTGAATGTGACTTTTGTAAATGTGTAGAAATTACGTGTCGTTGTTTCTGTTATTCGTTCGACGATGTCTGGCAGACACAAAGTGACAATAATAAATTATTAAAGCAAAATTTGTTTTATTTTTTGTTTCCTTTTTACCACATAAGGTTATGATGAATTCTAAACATACAAGTCTTGTTATAAAAGTGTCGTTTCGTGGTCTTTAAAAGATTCTTCATTTATTTGCATCTAAGAGAAAATGTTTTAATGTAAAATATTATCTGTACGAATAATTTATACTCTTTGTTGAAAAACTGACATGTGACAGTTGAATGACATTGACAATCTCATTTCGAAAACATTATCGTGTTTTAAAATGGTTAAGTTTGGTAAAAATAAGTTTAAAGCTTTGAATAAGCAAAAAAGAAACGCAAGTCTTAACAATGTTTCAAATAAAGTTATTAAAAAGTTAAAAGAGGAGAAAAATGTGTCGTTTCAAAAAGAGATACTATTAAAAGAGACTGCTAAAAGTGATGGGTTAGTAAAGATTAAAAACGCTAAGGAAATTTTGAACGATTCATTGAAAATATCGAAAAAGAAAGTAAACAAACAGGAGAAAATCCCGAAGCCAAAAGTAAAAGCCGTAGAAAAGCATAAGAAACGACAGAAAACACAATTGCAGGATACGAAATTATTGTTAAAATTGATGAAAAAGAAGTCATAGTTATTCTGTTCTTTCATATAAGTATAATGTAAGTTAATAAAACATAAAAAAAATCGAGTCGTTTCATTACACTGCTGTAAATTAGTGACTTGTGAATTAAGTTTAGTTTCTATGTTTATAAGGAACACCAAGGATTTTGTTAAAATAAAACACACATAGATGTTTTAAAAATGTTTATTTTTCTAGAAAAATTCTTACTATCATCTAATGCCTAAATATATTTACTATCAGTAAAATTACAGAACAAGTTTATTTCTATTGTGAAACTTTAACAAGAACATAGTTTTATGGTGAAGTTTTATTAGTGTGAAAGATTTCCTTTCTATGTTACTATTGCCAAGAGTAATATATGTATATTACAATAAAGTAAATTGTAAGCCAAATCTTTTATTAAATTAAACAAAACGGGATTCCATACTTAATAAATATCAATGTAAACAATGTGCTTTTCCTTTGAAAGTTTGAATATGAGCTTTATTTTGCTGACCACTGCAGATATTCCTTACTTTTGAATTGCACAGATTAACAATATTCATTTTACATTGACCTATTATTAGTATGTAGAACAAAGATTCTCAACCAATGCCGTGGTACTTTTGTTTGCTGTCAAATCTTGCATATTTTTGACATAAACTCTTTATGCAGGGTGTAGTAAGTAAATAATTTTTATCTTTTTCTTTGTGCCGCCAAATTTTGAAATTGTTGAATATGTGCCTCAACAGAAAAAGGTTAAAAATCATCGATGTAGAACTAAGTTAGCCCTTAAAGAGGTAAAGAGCTCCTCTTTTTTATTAGCGGAAATTCAGGATATTATCAAAAGAAATGGAATTAACACTTCTTATTTAGATAAATATTATTAACATTAGATTTTCTGTGAGTTTTAACATAAAAGTATACACTTGTATGACACAAGATTTGTATTTTTTTATAATAAAAGGGGGCAATCGAGTGAGAACACTGAGGTGGTCACCGACGCACAGACATCTGCAACACCAGAGGAACTACAGATGCGTTGCCAGCTTTTGGGGAAATGATAGGCTTGGTTCTTGAAGGACCCTAAGTCATATTGGTATGGAAATACCGCCGAGGACAGACCAACAACACGACTGTGGGAAGCAGAAAGTTCCACTAAAACCACATTTAGCAGTGTGAATAAAAATTGCATGTTTTAAAATATCAACTACATTAGTATCACTAGTTCTAAATTCTAGGAGTTAGTAAAACTACTAAATATGTGTTGAGTATGTCCATAAATATTCTATTATTTTTTAAACTAGTTATAACGAGAATCAAACATCAAATATACTAAAAATTATTACTAGAGTAAATACAGTTTAGATGGACATTAAAATTATCTAAATTTCTATAATAATGCTAATTTTACCTGTCTTATGGTCTACAAAAAAATACATTAGTCAAAGATTAAGAACATCCTAACATAGAGTGGACATTTGAAACATTTTATTTTGCTCAAACAGGCCTAATTTCAGTCCTTCCTCTTCCCATCCTTTTCTTACAATGAAAGGTAACAGATTTAACAGAGAAAGACGCAAAGTATAAGAAATATCGTCTTTTGTACATCCCCTTTGCCTTTTAGTTAAGCAAATCTGAAAATGCAATCTCTGAGTAGCGATCATTTCGCTGTTTTGTCGAAATTATGGCGGCCACTTGTTCGTTTGCTACTTAATTCTATGCAAAACATTAATAAACGTAATACAAAACTACTAACTTGCAACTTAGTGGTAACAAGTCGTGGTTAATTACGTCTTGTCATGTCTACTATGTTCAATATCTATGACAATAATTTTATTTTAACATCTAACATTTCAGTAACTTTTTTTATATAAATGACATTATATTGTGAAACTATTTTAGGTATACTAAATGGTGTTCTAAAGTGAGTAACCACTAAATTTTTCCCTATTGTAAATTACATCTAGATAACCATAATTTTAAACTACATGACCTAAAATCCCTATACTAAGTCTACAATGTCTTTAAAATAAGAATAAAATCTTAAATAATATTTTTTATTTAAAATTTTATTATCTAAAAACTTAGTTGTTAATTTTTTAAGAAACTGTAATATAATAGCAACCAATTTTTTAAATGCTTCAATAAATCAAAAACAACTTTCTCAACTTCTCAAAAAAAAAAATCAGTACAATATAAATACGTTTTAAAACTAGTTTTCGCCCATTTATCGAAATTCGACATTCTAAAATCAATTTTATTTTAAATATTCTATGCACTCCTTTTAATTGTGTTAAATTTGACGTTAATTCGCGTAACATACTTTAAAAAGGGATTTTTTTACGTAGAGATGTGAAACTATAACAAACCTCTCTAAAATTACCTTTATAACTCTGTAACCACAGACTTATAAAAATAGACATGTTTTCAAAACAATGAAATGTTACAAAATACAGACAATATGACATTTGTGTATAATTTCTCTTTTCTAGTAAATTTGACAAAACATAAATGGAATTATATTAATTGTGTTTGTTAAATGTTTTAAATTTAAAATTAAGACGTAAAAGCAAAAAAAAACCCTACAATTTGCTGTTTTATTAATGTAGCAAATATTGGCAGTGGTTAATTATAATTCCCGCTAAAAAATACGCGGGAAATAGACACGTCAATGTTCATATATTACGATATTTTTCATTTTTTAGTTACTTTTTGTAAAGTAAAAGACACTGTGAGATAGAATATACTTAATAATATATATAACATAAAGTTTGGATGAACGTTACTATGTTTCTCCAAATTGTAGAACATAGAATCATTTTTTTTATAACAAAGTTGCGAACAAAAACTCGTGTTATAAGAAAAAAATTACTAATAATCAGTTTTTTTTTTAGTTTTAGCGTAAATTCTATGACTATAGTTTAAGAGTTTTATTTAGAACTAGCTTCCACCCGCGACTCCGTCCGCGTTGTATTAATAAAAACAAAAGAAAGTAGCCTATGTGTTCTTTCAGACTATCATCTACATCTACGCCAAATTTCATCCAGATCCGTTCAACCATTTAGGCTACAAACTCCAACAAACATCCATCCAAATTTTCGCATTTATAATATTAGTAAGAAGTAAGATTAGGTATACAAAAAACAGTCTAATATTTTTTTGTGATTTTTTATATGTTTACGCTAAGTGTTGTTTTTTGATGTTATTGACCGACTTCCTAAAAGGAGGTACTCAATTCGTCTGAAAATTTTTTTCTTACATACTTCACTTTTATATGTTAATATCGCAATCATTGACGACGTCTGCTGCGTCTCGGAGTTGGTTTTGTACTGACGTTTTCCTGCGAAGTTTTTTCTGGATCTTCATCAAGTAATATAACTTCATCATCTTCTTTTTTATCATCAGTCGCTTTTTCTGGAAACAATTAATATAATGAACTAGCTGTTGCCTGCGACGTCCACGCAATATTTAGATAAAAAGTCTAGAAGAGCAAATACACATCTTCCCGAAATCTGGATTTTCTTTTGATATTACAGACACACCAATTTTATTATATGTATATAGATAGTTACACATTGTTATAATGTATTTTAACCATTTGATCGCTGTTAATAGGTATTTAATCTATACTTATATAAAGAGGAAAAATTTATATTTTTGTATGTATTGAAATAACTCAAAAACTACTGAACCGATTTTAAAAATTATTTCACCATTAAAAAGGTAACGTATCAGCGAGTTACATACGCTTTGTTTTATTACTATTTTTTTAATTTCACGAGGTCGAACTTGCGAGCAAGAGTTGTTGTTTTATTAAAAAGGAACACTATAACGTTTTCGCTAATAAAAAGAAACAACAAATAAAAAGAATAAAAATCGAAAAGATTGATGCTTGATTTTACACAACCCGATATCAAAACCAACTTTATAATAAAGAATTAATGAAAAGAATAATTAATTATCACTTATTTGTACCAAGAATAATAAAAATTAATCGATTTTTGACTTTTTGACCTTGAGAAACTTTGTTGTGTTTTACGTCGAAGTGATATCTGAGTGTATGTTATGAATGGAGTATGACGATTGACGTCAATTGTCTTTTGACAACTCCGGTAGCATTTTAGTCGCTAGAAAATGGTCGTAATCTTTTTTTACTATTTTTAGCTCAATGGTTGAATACTTTCGCGTCGATTTTTTTCTGGTTATTTTATAACAAGTAGAATCGTTTAAAAAAAGAAAAAAATACATACATATTCCCTATTGTCAAACTAATCTAGTTTATTTAGACAAACTTTACACCGCGTTTATTTGAAAAAGTGTAAATATTTACCCGCAGTATTCTTCTCATCGTTCAGTATCTCATCGACAGATTGCTCCCAATCCTCAAGATCTTCGTCCGCAGCATGGATACCTTCCTCTTCTTCTATCTTAGAGTCTTCTTGCTTTTCCGTCTCAACTGACACATCTATACAATTGGAATTGTTATTTATAAAGTTCTAACTGTGGTAGAGCCGGCTTTAATAACTCGCACGAATAGGTCGGCTCGCCCGGTGTAATACCACGACCACACAAAAGACTGGCGTGAAGTGGAAGCAACTCCGCGTACAGTCTGAATGTGGTGCTGGTGGCCCAGTGTTAGTCTCTTTTCTTGAGAGAGAGAGGGATAGGAAGGAAAAGTGGATTTGACGGTGGAGGAGACGCAAGAAAGGGGAAATGTTCTCATTATGTGCGTCTCCGTCTCTGTTATTAATTATTATAGGACAAGCTTTCGCCTGCGACTCCGTCCGCATGGATTTAAAAATAAACTAAGCAGCCTTTGTGTTCTTCCAGAGTATCCTCTACATCTATGCCAAATTACATCTAAATCAGTTCAGTCGTTTATACTACAAACTGTAACAAACATCCATCCATCTAAACTTTCACATCTTACTAATCTTACTAATATTATAAATGCGAAAGTTTAGATGGATGGATGGATAGATGGATGTTTGTTAGAGTTTGTAGCCTAAACAGATGAACCTATCTCTATGAAATTTGGAACAGATGTAGAGTAGTATGGAAGAACACATATACTTAGTTTTTTTAATCCGACGCGGTCGGAGTCGCGGGCGAAAGCTAGTTTAGTAATTAGTAAGATTAATTACGATTATACCTTCGTTAGCTGGTTTATCTCCATTGACTTCCTCCTGTATCCCGTCCCCTTCCTCGTGTTCGATATCGTGCTCGTCCTCCGTGTCGTCGTCACGCGACGTCTTGCGACGCTTCCAGTTCCCTGACTCTTCCACGTTCATCTGACGTTTGCCTTCTTGAAGCTGAAAATAAATGTTTTTTTATGTATTATTAGACAACTTATTTAATTGATACTGTCGCTTTTAACTCAGAGCAACACTTCTCGTCAAGACTCAAGTTACGCGCCAATCTATCCATACTTCTAGTGACATTGACAGCTGTCAGCTGTCAGCTAGGGACGTGACGTTTATGCCGATATTCTAGAGTTGCGCCAATTCTATAGCACGGTACTAATTTTATTCCTAACAGTATATATTTTGTTTTTAACCTAGATAGGTTTAAAACAAACGGTCTAGAATAGACTTTCTAAGTGAGCGATAACCAAATAAAAACAATGGTAAGAGAGCCCATTAAAAGAAATTTAAGATTTTTTGTTGCATTTACTTCTTATATATATTTTGTTTGTTTCTCTTTAATTTTTTTGCATGATATTCTATATAAATGTTTAAAAAATGCGACGACTAAAAACCACGTAAGTCGTTTGGCGGGAATGACTAATGTAACCACAGTATATTTTTTTTGAAAATGAGGGATTAAAAAAAAGAAATAGTGGCACTATAAAATAATGAATTTCTAGATTCTAGAAAAATGTTGAAAACCCAATTTAGAATATTACCCGACATAATTATTTATTCGCATTTTTTTTAGTATATCTCTTAAATTTATTAAATCTGATTTTAAATTGAGATTTTTAGTGCACTAGTTTTACTAGTACATCAGCAATGTCATTTTATTTGTAACAAAGTGGCAAACGAGCGAGCGGCCACCTGCGTTCGCCGAAAAGGCGAAGCCACCGCTGCCCAGAATACTTCTTCTTCATATAAATCTCCACTTATTAAGTTGGAGTCAGTGTTATGTTCACCTGTTGGCTGGACTTGGAGAGGAGCCTGATGAAGAGCTGGTGGTGTCTCCAGGTCTTGAGATGCACCTCGGCCGTCTCCCCGCTGTCCAGCAGTTTGCGGCACAAGCTGCACTGCACACACTTGAACTCCGACAGGAAGGAGCGCCCCACGCCGCGCTCCGTGCTGACAATCACAAATATTAAAAAACACATTAAAACAATAGTTTTTTGTTGTTTTTATATTAACGGGAAGTCTGAGAGTAGCCCCAGTGGTTGAGAAAATAAAGAGTAAAAGGTTAGAGTGGTATGGGCATGTTATGAGAAGGGATGAATCGCATGTAACAAGAAGGATGTTAGTTATGAATGTGGAGGGGTACATCGGTAGAGGTAGACCTAGGAAGAGTGAAAGGATTGCGTGAAAGTTGACATGATCAAGAAGGGACTGATGACTGAGATGACGGATGATAGAGTTATTTGGAGGACGAAAACCCTACGGGAGTAGGATAAGGCAGGGGAGATTAAGATGATGATGTTTTTATATTACAAAACTATATCTATACTAATATTATAAAGAGGAAAGATTTGTATTTTTGTATGTATTGAAATAACTCAAAAACTACTGCGCAGATTGTAAAAATTCTTTCACCGTTAGAAAGGTAATTTATCTGTGTGTAACATAGGTTATTTTTTTTAATTTCACGGAGGCGAAGTCGCGAGCAACAGCTATAACTAATAAACTAGTTTGTATTTAGGAACTATAACAAACTACATGGAAATAGCTGGTTTAAGCTAGTACATACTAGCTTTCGACCGCGACACCGTCCTCGTGAATTAAAAAAAAAACAAACAAAATAACCTGCTTATCCTCTTTTTTTTTCTATAAATTTAATTCTCAATTGCAAATGTTATTTAAATACATAAAGAAAATCCTTTGCCATTGGACAACTATTATAACTATGGCAATCTTGCTTCTATATTTCTATTATCTGTATTTGTCTCTTACTCACAAAGCTATTTCTAAACTAAATAATGTAAAATATAACATATTGTAAAAATAGGGTTATTTACTAGAAAAAAGGAATTCAAAAATATACGATTCCTTACATATTATCTTACTAATATTAAAAATGCCAAAGTTTACATGGATGTTTGTAGCATAAATATAATAGATGGAGTGGATAGTTTGGAAGGATTTTTTACTTTATGGGAACGAAATCGCGGGCAAAAGCTAGTCAATAAATATATTTACCTGTATACTGGTATCATATCGTGTGTTATTTTAGATAGATCATCTCCCTGCTTATAATCAAGTATTGTTTTATCATTGTCCACAGATTTCTCCTTCTTTATTTCCACTTCCTCTACCTTCTCACTCTGCTCTGTCTTCTCTGAATCCTTCTCTACATTCTCTTCAGCATTCTTCAAATCAATATCACCCTGATTTAAACAGAAAATAAATTATCTACACTTCTTTGTTGCCTAAGATGTCAGCAATTACAATATATTTTTGAATAATACTTTTTTTAATAAAAAGCCCTACAGTTTCGTCATGCTTTAAGCTATATATTTTCACGCCATTAAACTTAGGGGTAAATATTTTGGATAAAAACCCTAATGTGGGAAAAAGGAAAAAAGAATTTTCCCTATACCTCTGCTTTTTTCCCCTATACATTTGCTAATTTAAAAGAGGATGGACAGGGAAATGGGATTAATTCTCTGACATGAACACTAATGAGATGGTATCAATTTTTTTATGTTGGTTAAGCTAGTTCAGGACCACAATTCCATCTGAATTGTGGTTTTAGTAGTTCCCTTCTCATCCTTACTTTAATAAAGGGATGGGCAGGGTCGTGGATTTAATGGAATTGGTGACTTTGATCTAAAATATCATCAAAATTTGAAGTGTTTTAGAGGTAAAAGTTAGGTTTATTTCATACCTGTTCATCAATCTTCTCTTCTTTAACCTCCTGTTCCTTGTATCTGTCGTAGCGGTCCGGACGACGCCAACGTTCGCGGTCCTCCCGGAGATAGGATTGCTCCATAGACATTGTGGATATCACCATTACTATAAGATAATTATTTGTGAATTAGTCAATAAGGGTAACCCTTAGTGTAGATTAACATGAATTAAAAAGGTAAAGTTTTCATATATCTAGGCGGCTTAATTATGCGCAAGTAGCTGCGTAAACTTTTTTCAGATGTATCTTGGATGTTAAGCTGTCAAGATATTAGAAAAGACCAAGTTAAGATTACAGAAATACACTAGCCTATGTATAGTAACAAATTGTTAAGATTTGTATAAAAATTGGCATGTTCAAGCGAGCCAATATAATAAATAATGTATGTTACATGATAACTATTATCTCTTCTATTCCTATGTCCCCAAAGTGGGGCAGAGGGCGTCCCCAGTACGCCGCCAGCTCGCTCTGTCTTGGGCTCTGCATTGTATCTCGTTGTATCATAAACTATTATGTATAACTATAAATACTATCTATGACTATAAATACTTTGTCCTGTTATTACATGTTTATTTTTTTTTTTAATTACTTTGTTGTGTTTTTTTTTCTCTTATTCCTAATTGTGTTGTAGTGGTGATAAGATTATTTTATTTTTAACTCAATGCATTACTCTATTCTAGTTAACCAACAAGAACTATGGGCCTTTTTTGTCTTATTCCTATCCACACAATGGAATTAGATTTGGCAGGGGAGGGGACACATATGAAAGTGTAACATCCTCTTTCTGATAATTGAAGGTAAATATTATGTGTCAAGGAGAATATTAGTTATGAGTGTGGTACACCAGTAGAGGTAGACCAGTAGAGATGGATGGATTGTGCGAAAGGCTTTGAGCCTTTCAGCGGGGACACAGTGAGCTAGCAATGAAAAAAAGATTGGCTGAGTACTAGTGCCGGATACAGTTGGACTTTTGAGAAGTCTACACAAAAGAGTATGAATTACAGTCCATTCACTCACCTTCAGGTTTCGGCTTCGTCACCACTTCTTGCTTATCCTGCATATTCCTTAAATGCTCGGCTGTCAATCTATGTTCATCTAATTCAATCCTTGTCGGCATCTCCTTATGACACTGTGTGCATGTCGGATGTAAATATTTCTTCAGTTTACGATGTCCCACTGTAGTTCTGTGTATAGCACCATCCGCTGCGTACATATCGCACATCGCACAGTAGAAGTCACGAGGGGGTTGTTGTCCAGATTTCCTGGTGCGTTTCATTTCACGGATCTGTAAATTATTGCTTTTTAATAACAACCCAGAGAGATAGATGGACCTCAATTTGCGGTTTACTCAATTCTATTACAAGTAGTTAGTAGTAGTAGAAGTAGGGGCTACAGTTTCCGCAACTCCACGGCTAGCGCGTATTTTGCGTGAGGAACAGGACGTGGATCACTCCAGTCAACTTAGCTCTCCGAAGAACCCCAGCAAACCCTTTATGTTGCTGGTGATCTTTTGGTGCGATCTCAGCGAACCGAGATACCTAACCCTGTATTTATTATTACAAGTAGTTATTTATATAAAAAACAAGCTATCGCCTTGACTTCATCCACGTGGAATTAAAAAAAAGTGAGTAGCCTATATGTTCTTCCGGACTATCGTCTACATCTATGCCAAATTTAATTGAAATCCATACAGTCGTTTAGGCTACAAGCTATAACAAATATCCAACTAAACTTAAGGCTGTAGTTACGTATTTATGTAAATCAAGTTCAATTCCCATTCAATACAGGTTGCAACTACAGTAGAACCTCGATAACTCAAACCACGGTAACTTAAAAACCTCTATAACTTCAAAATATGTTACCTTACCTTTAGAGCCCAAAAACCTCTATAACATAAACCCTTGATAACTTAAAAACTTTGGATTTTAACTTATTGAGGTTATACTGTATTTGACTGCTGCTATCCATTAAAATTAGTTATAATGAATTGATCTGCAGTTCATTAGTGCAGATATTTAGTGGAATTATCCATAACTAGTACTTACATATCACAGCACTTATGCAGACAGAAAACATATAGGCTTTTTACTAAAGAACATTGATTCTCACCTTAATTTCCTGCCGCATAGTGTCAGCGGTAAGAGCATAGCTCTCCGACATCTTCTGCATCATGATAGCATGAGCTCTACCACTCAGATGGTTCTCAAACGACCTTCCATCCCACATACTCTTATTACAGATGTGGCATTTCAGCAGTTGCGGGTTTAAATCATCATATCTGGTCTTCGGAGCTTCTCTCTGATCATTTGCATCCGATCTCTCCCCAGTTTCTTCCTTATCTTCTTGTTCTTGATCACTATATCATACTTGTTTTGTTAGTTAATAAACATCAATGAATTATTTTTAAATCTATTTGATGTTGATTGCTAGTCTATCAGGACTTCCATGTTTCGAAAGATGTTTTGAGACATTTGTTTAGAAAAATTGGATGAAGAGTCTTTTATTAAGACTTTAAAATCCTTTAATGGATCAAAACGGTGTAAATAAAATACAATTATCATTTCCTTGTATATGTGCAAAATGGACATTGTCATCTGTGAAAGTTTACGTTGAAAGTGTGTAGATTTTGGTTTATAAACGTCAAAGATGACGCAGGTGGAAAATTTGCCAATCGGGCCAGTGTTTGGCCGGTGAACGATCAGAGAACTAGTGTGAAAGTGGGCCAAGACGGCTTCAGAGATGCGGTACAACCACCGGAAGGAATCCTTACCTCTCCTTAACAGGCTTAGCCTTTGAATCGGCATCCTTTTTCGGGGAGCTCTTGTTTTGATGCCTTTGCCCGTCATTGGGCCTGAACGGCTTACGATTCATGTTGATACGCTCACCAGCCCGATTATAATTTCCCGTACGCCGGAAATTACCCTGATTGCCCATCTAAAGGGAATTTCTATATGTTAGTAAGGAAACTGTTAGGCCATTTAGCCTGCGAAGGTGCACTGAAATCTGAACAAATAAAGATATTATCAAGTCAACGGCATATAGAGCCATCAGACCTGTTTAGAACGCAAAACATAAAGGGCTCCTGGAAGAAATTTGATTATTGAAAATAAAAGTTTTCAGAAAACATTGTGGCATGGTATATATGTGGATATTACATTTGGCTTGGGTTACAATTGTACATCAAGGACTTAGCAATGCAGGATACAATGAAAAAAATCATTGCGAGCATTAAAACAAGTTTCTGCTAAAATAGACAAAAAGCTATTTTAAGCTTTCATAAAAGCTATGATACATTTTTAAAACAATTTTGTAACAATAAAAGATGATAAACACTGATATTTTTTATTTATATACTCTTCTCATTAGATTTTTCAGCAATATTTTTATCATCCACCTCTTATTTGTGAGCTAAAGAAAAAACAAACCTATCAAACTCATGGTAAACATCTTCACATAATTTCAAATCAAGTAATATCAAGACTAAATTTTAAGTAGAAAATATTAAAAATAATATTTAGAACTTCCTCAAGAGTAATTAAGAAAGCCCAGTCAAGGAATAGATAAATTCATTCTATAATTATCTACTATACCAAATACTTGTTACATATTTTACCAATCTTTATAACGTGATTTTGTTTTGTATTGGAACTATGGATAAATTTAATACAAAATTAGTTATAATACTAGGTAACATGTAATTAAGTTATTTCTATACAACAATGAACAACAATAAAAACAACTAAATTATGAAAGTAGCTACTTAAGTCACAATTACATAAAAACATATTAGTCACATGTTTTAAAATTATTTTTCTATGTATTTAGGTACTTTTCAAATATCTTAGTGGCCTACAATCATCAGTGTGCTGTGCCCTTCCACTGTCTTTCACATACAACTGTGTTCTGTGCAGACTAACCCATAGTTAAGAGCTACCAAGATATCTGACAATTACTGTACCTCTACATACATGTTTGATTTTAAGTTAAAAAGAGTCAAATTCACCATAGGTTTAGTGTTCAAATGGTGTACTTACCCTGTGGGGTCCATAACCGCGATCATACCGACCCATGTTAGGACCGAAGTCCCGTCGAATAGGCATATCTAGGAGCGACGGCACTGGATTCTGACGCGGCTGCAGGAGGTTGATGATGTTACTGGCTAAAGCTAAAGTAGCTTCCGTAGAACCGCCGGCTAAAGGCAATAGATTCGGGATGCCACCGCCCGGCCCGGTGCCCTGCCACGGCGACACGCCGCTACGCCCGAAGTTCTTAGGCCTATCATTACGCCCGAAATCCATACGACGCCCGTTGTTCTGCGGTCTTCGATTCGCCATTGCAGTCTTTGAAGTAAAATAAATTATTAATAAAAGGTATTGTTATTGAAATAATTCATCATGGCGGATTTCATGTTACGTATTTATACAAATAACGTAGGTTTACCTCAATAATATTGATTAAAGTTAAGAAACTTAGTAAAAAAACAGTACATAGATTTAAAATAAATGTTAAACTTAAATAAAAGTAGCGAATGAAATGACCCGCTTCTGTCGACGTACAATCGATTTTTTTCAGAATGTATTTTAAATTAGCATTTAATGAATACTCACCGAATTAACAGAAGTGTTGACCGACAGAACAGAAATGGTATTTACAAGTGAATTAAAGAAATTATTAATAAACAATCTGAATAAACCGAAAATGCAAAAAGCAAAGCGCAATTGACAAGAATGCCAAAAAATACCTGGCAAAAATGGCGGCTTTGCTAACTTTTATCATAGATTACATTAGAAAGTTCATTTCAGGATTTCCAAAAAGAAACATTTTGTGATCGACACATGTTTTTAAGAAAATCACAGAAAATGGAGAATGGATATGCATAAAAGTCTTTTTTCCGTTATTTAATTTTTATTACCTTTAAAGGAAAAATCAAAAGGGTGACAAAACTCTTTAAATGTCAAGGTGATTGATATCTAATGTCAACTGTCAACATTGTGTCATTTGTGTTTTCAGTTTAGCAGTTTTAGCTATTTTGATTTTAAAAAGAAAAATACCACGAACATTCTCAGTCGTTCCCACAAACACGGCTGTTTGCAATCAAGATCAAGAACTTAAAATTGTACAGTTTTTACAGAAGTAATTACTGAAAATAAAAGGTTAATAATGGGAGACTGCGAGAATGAAAACGACCATATGAAAAGAAACAAGGTAAACGACAACTATTTGCGTGGTATTTAAATTTATTCTATGTTAAAATGGATGGCCCTAGTAAAAATGAATACATCTTATTACTTCTCTTAGTCTAAATTAAACATTAATATGAAATAAAGGAAGCATGTAATTGTGCAAAGAAAATCAATATCAAACCGCTATATTGTAGTCTTGTGTAGTACACATACAATGTACTAAAAAGTAATGTTACTCAGCACTGTACTAAAAGTAACGTTATCCAACGGTTTCTGTTAATCGGACATTTGGCACTTTTAGTACACTACACGATATCGATGTTCGCTTCTTCGTTGTTTGATTTGATTGTATATTTGCTAGATTGAAGCATCCACCTTTGGTAATAAAAATCAAAACTGGATAAAATCATTTATAACTTAAATTTATTTTCGCTAATAACATATGATTGACCCTGCTTAAAATTTGATGTGAAGTAATCAATAACCATTGTTATATTCTATTCATGTTATTGTTTTCTCACAAATCTGAAGTACTAAAGGTACTTAAAGTGTGTACTAGTAAGTTTTCCCAATTGTACTAGTACGGTGCGCACTTGCAGATGTCCGATTAAGCCCAAGACTACTATATTGTATGATTTTTTTAAATCATCATAACTGAATGTAAATAGTAAAGAATACAATTATATCATAATTTTTACGAAGTTAATCAAATCAAATTGTGGAAGTCTGAAAGCATCAATGTTCACATAGTTTACATTGCTTGTTTGTTCTGGTTCCTTATATATAAATTTATATAAAAACTTCACCAAGATCTTTACATTATAAATACTGCTATGTATATAAAATTATTGTGGTACTAAATATGTTAACTTAAAATCTAAAATTCCAGGACCGCAGTCCTTCCCCAGGTATCAAATCTACAGCTGTAGTGAAGTACACAGCATTCCAGAGTCCTGTGGGGTATGCTAGACTGCAATGTAATACAGATCTCAACATGCCCCCCTCTAACTGGGGGGCGGCTATTGATTCATATGGCTTGAAACAGATATTGACTCGAGGGACTGGATTTTCAAGGTAGTTAATGTAATCTTTTTAAATATTCAGAAGTAGGGGCAACAGTTTTTGAAGCTCTAGCCTAGTTACTGTTACAAATGCAAAAGTTTGGATTATTGGATGAATGTTTGTTAAAGTTTATGGCCAAAACAACTGAATGGATTTTGATGAAATTTAGCACAGATGTAACATAGCCTAGTGATTAAGTTTTTTTATTTCTACATAGACAGAATTACGTCTGAAAGCTATCCAAAGCTCCCCAGTAATGTAAATTTTACAAATAGTTTTGTAAAACAGAAATGTTCTTTTCTTTACAGCTTTAGAATGGCGCACATGTTTCCCGACTGTGTGGGTGAGGTGGATGTAATATCTGATGCAGAGTGCATCAAGAAACTACTAAAATTGCCATACCAGCCTAATGGAACAGTAAGCATTCTTGCTAATTACATAAAAAATTGTTTAGACAGGGCAGTTTTGACAAATTTATTAATATAAAAATGCCAAAACTACAGAAGTATCAAATCGATATAATATTTTACTTTTCCAGGTCAGTATGATGGTTCATCGAGTGGAAAACACCTTACTACTTGATGATTTTGATGTCTATGATTATTTGATGAAGTCGGAATGGTCGTGGTTGAAGGACTTTTTCTATGAAAACATAGTAAAGACTATGTCAGAACAGGTACATAACATATGTCATTTAGTTTATGTTTTATTGAAATATTGTTTTAATTTACGTTTTGTTGAAGTATCGTTTTCATTTACGTTTTGTTGAAATATCGTTTTCATTTATGTTTTGTTGAAGTGTCGTTTTCATTTATGTTTTGTTGAAATATGATCATTTATGTTATGTTGAACAGGAAAGGATGTCATTGACCCCTGGGCCTGGGGCGAGGCAAGCTTTGCAGTTGACACAACAGTTTCTATCGCACAGTGTTGTAGAGCGACCATCTCCTTTGGAACCTCCTGCACATGCTAAAAACACACCTATGTGTCTTGCGGGTCAGTATAATTTATTGATTAGTACTTTACATATTACCACTATAAACACGTATGAAAAAAAAAATAATACGAAGAGAATGAAAAAATGTTAAATTTAGCTTAGCAAAGGTAGTTAGTTAGTAGTATTTACGCTTTAGGAGGTCACCTTATAATGTAAACTTTACAACATACAAGTAAGGGAAATGGTTTAAAAATAAAGAGTAAACTATGAAAATAAAAGTAAACTATGGACTGCTTTGCTTCATTTACTAGGTTTCTGTTTTAATAAATTAAACTAAATATTGTTTTTTTTTACAGGTCCATTTCTACCAGAGCCCGAAACGAAAGTAGAAGGTCCTTCAAACGAGCAACCTTATAATAGAAATGTATTATGGACATTCGAAGATATTCACATGTTAGTTGGCAGCGATTTGCCAATATTTGGTGATAAGGACCGACCTTGTGTCAGTCTCCGCTTAAGAGATGCTAGAGACCCCATAAATGTACTAACAGGGATCGATTATTGGTTAGATAATTTAATGTGCAATGTTCCGGAAGTGTTAATGTGTTACCATTTAGATGGTATTGTGCAGAAATATGAACCGATGAAGACTGAAGAACTACCGAATATGGAGAATTCTAAATTCTCACCTAAAGTGATAAGGAATGTGGCTCAGAATATATTATCATTTTTAAAATCTAATGTTACTAAAGCGGGACATACTTATTGGTTGTTTAAAGGGCCTCATGATGATGTGGTTAAGTTATATGACTTAACGTCTTTATGTCCTGATAGTTTAGACAACCCTTTCACAACACCCGTAGCGATGTTGTTATACAGGGTGGCTAGGAATATGAGATTGACTAATCGGTCTAGACATGTCAAACAGTTGTTGGAACATGTTGTTAAGTTGTTGAAGATAGAAAGGTATCCGCAAATTGTTGCTTCTTCTCATTATATGTTGGCGGATTTGTATGTACCGGCGACAACTAACCCTGCGAATCCAGATTTTAAAGGTAACTTTAAATTTTTTTTAGTTAATAGGGAACATGCATGTATATTTTTCTTTTTTTAAACGATTCTACTTGTTATAAAATAACCAGAAAAAAAATTGACGCGAAGATATTCAACCATTGAGCTAAAAATAAAATTACGACCATTTTCGAACGACTAAAACGCGACCGGAGTTGTCATGAGACAATTGACGTCAATCGTCATATTCCATTCATAACTTACGCTCAGATGTCACTTCGATGTAAAAAACAACAAAGTATCTCAAAGTCAAAAAGTCAAAAATCGATTCATTTTTATTATTCCTGGTACAAATAAGTGGTAATTAATAATTCTATTCATTAGTTTTTTATTTTAAAGTTGGTTTTGATATCGTGTTTACAGTAAAATACTTCAAGAGTGTATTTCTATAAACTAACGTAAATGAACTGTGTATTGTCAACACAGCGACGCCATATTAGATAAGCCACTTGCTTCGACCAATAGTGTGCGTCATATGCATATTGCCTATTAGATTTGTATTAATTGGATTTTAAAACTTACTTATAAATTAAAGGATTTATAAGTAATTAGATGGATGTTTGTTACAGTTTATAGCCTAAACTGATGAACGGATTTTGATGAAATTTAGCATAGATTTAGACATAGTCTGGAACAACACTTGGCTATTTACTTTTGTTATTTCTTTAATTCCGCACCTACGAGTTCGCGGGCGAAAGCTAGTTTATTAATATAAATATCTTACCAATATTATAAATGCGAAAGTTTAGATGGATGTTTGTTAATATTTGTAGCCTAAACAGCTGAACGGATCTGGATGAAATTTGCCATAGATATAGAGGATAACCTGGATGAACACATAGACTACTCGCTTGTTTTCTTTTTAATTCACGTATACGAAGTCGTGGGCGAAAGCTAGTAAACAATGAATTAATAAAACTATATTTAACTTTATCTAATCAATATTTATTATCTATTTTCCTTCTAGATGAAAGTTCAGATTCGGAAGATGAAGGGGATTTTACAGAGTTTGCGAGGGAAGCAACGGCCGATGATACGAGTGAAAGAGACGGGGAATGTGACACCAAAACGTGCAAAAGGGATGAAGATAACGACAAAGTTGAGATTACTAGTGAACATTCAGATAAGGTAAGGACATTAATATTAAATTCAGACATAATTCTGGAAATATAAATAAATGTGCCATGTCTTGTTTAAATGAAACACAGATTTTCGATGTTACAGTAAAATATATATTTATACTAATACTAGTTGTTGCTGGTGACTGCGTCTCTGTGAAATAAAAAAAAAATTAAAACTATAGCCTATGCTACTTAGTGATAACATAGCTTTTTAATAATGTAAGAATTTTTGAAATCGGTCCAGTAGTTTTAGTTATTTCAATACATACAAAAATCCAAATCTTTCCTCTTTTATTAGTATAGGTTACTAGCTGTTCCCGTGCGGCTTCATCCCCATGAAATTTTGAAAATTTTATTTTATTGTTTCTGTCAAATTATCAATAGCAAATGTCAAAATGACATGATAAACTTTAGCAATCTTTCTTTCTTGTGTTGGCGACTTATGGTCTCTTTCCCACATCAGGGTTTTTATCAAAAATATTTACCTCTTAAGTTTAATGGCGTGAAAATATATAGACTAAAGCATGGCGTAAGTGTAGGGCTTTTAATTAAAAAAAGTATTTTTCATAAATATGCTGTACTTGCTGACATCTTAGGCAACAAAGAAGTGTGTGTTTACGCTTTATTATAATAGTATAGATAAAGAGAGAGAACAGATTTCTATTAAAAAAGCTACATTATCATTGAGTAAAAAAGACTGTATTTATTACTATAATTTTGTTTTACTGCGTTTAAGAAGTCGTGGAAAATGCTAGGATTACACAATACTAGCTGTTGCTCACGACTTCGTTTACGTGAACTTTATTATATAGTTACTCGGCGATAATGTAGCTTTTAAATGGTGAAATAGTTTTTGAAATCGGTCCAGTAGTTTTTGAGTTATTTCAATATATACAAAAATACATATCTTTCCTCTTTATAATATTGTATTTTATAATATTTAATTGAGGAGGAAGACACTAACGAGGCTGATAAGGAAGAGGAAATCAAGGACAATGGCGGCCGTGAGTTGGCGCTCAGACATATCGGAGATCGGGTCAAAGATACAGCACCGGTATGTATTGAATTATATATATTTTAAACAGATTAATAAACAGCAAGAAATAATTCGAACTTCAGATCAAATAAAAATGAATTAAAAAAACACCATTTTGTAATGCGATAGATTTATATTTCTAAGCACACTAGCTTTCGCCCGCGATTTCGTCAGCGTGGAATTAAAAACCAGAGTAAGTAGCCAGTAAGTTCTTCCAGACTATCCTAGAGGATAGAAAGATGTAAAATCTATTCCAAATTTCATCGAGATCAACCATTTAGGCTACAAACTTTAACATAGATCCATCTATTACTGTCGCATTTATAATGGTAATATCGTTACGATGAAATACCCAAAAAACCCAAAAAATTAAATGCGTAGACATGTGTACGTATATAACTGTGGCCTCTGCCTGCCCTTTTGGGTTACGGGCGTGATAACATCTCTAAACATAACTGTTATTATTTAAGGATGCTAAAGAGAAGTCGTCAAGTAGCGGAGGTTTGGGAGTACAAGTGCCGGAGCGATGTGGGCGCGCGCTCAGACATGCTTTGCGAGGTCTTTGTGCACTGCACCATGTTACTATCGGCAGGAATAAGGTTATAAAATATATTCTAGGTTATAATTTTAACACTAATTAAACTTCGTGAAAAAACGCCGTTTTTTCTATTTTTTTTTTTCTGGAGGTTTTTTTCTCGTTTTACCTGTTTTGAAATCTTACTCATCTTAATTTTTTTCGGTCATACCCCCGCCTAAGTCTCCTATGGACCCAAAGGTCTAAATTGTTTTTGAATCTCTGCTCTGTATCATATTTTCATATAAAATTAATAAAATGGTATAGATATTGTATGAAGTTACTGTTAAATAAATAATTAACTGTTTTTCAGGATGAAGAACGTGAACGTTTGAAACAACAAATAATAATAGAAGAGCAACATCCTAAAATGGCGAATCCTTACGAACCAATAAAAATGAACTACGAACCGTTAAAAAAGAAACAAGATCCAAAAGAACATGTATCTAGAAGTAGAAGAAGGAAACGAGAGAGGAAGAACACAGAAAAAACTGGAAACTATTTAATAGAAGCTAATTCGAATATAGATAAGAACGCCATTTTGATTCGCAAGGAAAACAAGATGGCGTCCTGGCATGAACCGAATCGTGATGATAATTTCGCTTGGAAATTACATTTGAAGACGTTGTTGTATGAAAAAATTTGTCTCGCATACGCGACTTTAGCAGAATATAGTTACTCACATGAGCAATATGGTTTCTCGTTAAAATATATTGACATGGCGAGTAAATGTCAAACTTTATTAAGTAACATGATAATAAAAAGTCGCGTTGTCGACGCTAGTTGTTTGATAGGTCGCGTTGGAGATAATTTCTTTCAGCTCAGCAAACATTGGAATAGATTGGAACAGTTTAGGAAGCAATTCGAAACGGATCATGAAATTGACAGCAGTATCAAAATGGAGATTGAGAATGATATGTGTGAAGAAATAGAAGGTGACGCCAAGGATGAGTTTGATTTAGGTAAGATTTTGAGCTTTTGAAATGTGTTGTAGATGGGCTTTGCTACTTTGTGACAATTATTGTGGTACATAGTACATAATCACTTTATATTTTAAATTTAATTGAATTAAATATTAAAAATTTTCAATTATTTCGATTACAATACTCACCCGCAAGATATACATAATTAACTCGATTTAAGTTAGATTTAAATTTCAATGTAACATAAATGAAAATTATATTTCAATATAACTTAAACGAATATTGATTTTTAACCAAACATAAATGAAGAATAATTTTCAAAATGCTATAAATAATTATTACAATTCAACATAACACAAATTTAAAAAGACATTTCAACAAAACGTAAATGTGGGATACTTTTCAACAAAACATAAATGAAAAAATGTCATTTTAATAAGACATAAATTAAAAATGTCATTTCAACAGAACATAAATTGAAATCACATTTCAACAGAACATAAATGAATTTCAACCAAAAATGAATGTTTTTGGTTGATCAGATATATCGCTGCCGTCGAGCGAGACGGAGGCGATGTTGC